TTCGTACCGCCATAAAAAAATAGGGGTTGGTGATAGAAGGGTGAAAATTTAGGGTTGTATGTATTTTTGAATGATGTATCATAAAAAAATTAAAAAAATATATCTAAAATTGAAAAAAAAAATTTAGGGGATTACCCTCAATATTTAGGCGGATGAAAAATAGATGTTGTCCGATTCTCAGACCTACCCAATATGCACACAAAATTTCATGAGAATCGGAAAAGCCGTTTCGGAGGAGTTTAACCACAAACACCGCGACACGAGAATTTATATATATTAGATTGATATAAAAGTTAATTTCAATCCAAAAAATAAAAGTAACTACAAGGGTAGTAATTTTACGAGAGGAATTGGGTTTAGAACAGTTCACCGTGATGATAAAATGCCACTTCGTATTTTTTTATTTTATGGTTTAGAGCCCATTACTCAATAATTATTTTTGCCAAGAAGTACCTACTTAACCAAGAAAAAATACAAAATCATAAATCAGCACTTTGCATTGCCGCTCTGAGGAATACCGTGTATGTTTTTTTTGCTCGGGGAGTTTACCCCTACATGCTTCATTAGGATTTAATTAATATGTTTCGGGTATTTATTTATTTATTATTTCCTTTTTTCATATAATAATCTTGACAAAAAAAAATATTTAAATTTTATTATATGATAATGATAATACATATTGCAAATATATGTTTTAAACGTAAATTTTGCGCTGAACACGATGAAAGAAAAAGAAATGGTAAAATTTAATTATCATATAATAAAATTAAATATTTTTTTTTAACTATATTTTTCGTCATCTTTCTTAGTAGCCATCATTTTAAACTAAATACGCAGGATAGTTCACCCAGTAATGTTTATTAGTGATTAATTAAACAAAAGAATAACAGTGTTGCCCAGCGCGCGATTCAACAATGAATGAATAAAAGTGAGCAACTCACTCCTAGCGAGTGAGTTGCTCGATCTGTGCGCACGATCTGTGTACGGAAGAGACGGTTAAACATGGATAACTGGTTTTAGCTGAAGCATAAATTTTAAAGTAACGATGACTAACGCTAATAAATTACAGTGGAAGAAAAGAGTAAACACTGATAATCGATTTTAGCTGAAGTAATTTATAAAGCGTCAAATAAAAGTTATTCAGTAAAAACAAATTAAAATTCGGTATCTTCTTTTACTTGCCTCAAATATAACGCAAATATTCTATATATTTTTTTTTTCAAAAAGCGACAGGTTTTTTAGTTTTTACTTCATCTAGTAAAATTAAAATATCTGGTAAAATTCAAACAGTCAAAGCTAATTACCGTGGGATAACTTATTTTAGTGGAATAATCTCACAGGATATTTACTCTAAGTGTCTACATGAAAAATGAGTTTAAATCCGAAACTTGGTTTCAACAATTAATACGTTTACAAATTTATGTGTTTTGAATGGGTTTATTAGGTTTTAAATCAAGAATTTTGGAAATAATTTGCAGTTATTTTGTTTATTCATTAGCTATTTCAGGAAGTATGCGTCGTAGAGCATAATGAGTTTTACCTGTAGATGCGGCTTAATGAGACGGGTCGATTGGTATTATAAAAGTTCAGTAGCGGAAAAGTGCAGATAATCGGTTTTGGCACTAAGGGGACGATTTACTAATAATAAACTTCTTGCTTTCTAAACGCGCTTTGTTCGTTATTTTGAAAATGTACATATTAATAATTATAATTAGTAATAATATTTAATAGGAGTAACAATTAATTAATTCTTCATTAATAATTCTTATTAAAAAATAATGAACAAAAATATTTACAAAGAATAAAGACATTTATTTAAATTCTAAATAGAGAACCCTTCTACTACAAAGGCGATGTTCTTGGCTGTATCATTTCGGTGGTAATTTTTTTACCATTTCGGTAGACAATTTTCATTTCAGTGGACTGCCGAAAACTCATCCTTAAATATTTCAGTAATTGGTGATTGTTGAATTTGCCCCGTAGGATCGTTTAAAAATGGAAAAAAAACCATAAAAAATATTTTTTCTTTTTTTATTTTGCACCTTTAATTGCATTTTGTGTAAAAACTATGGGAGATACGCGAAAATAAGTTGATACCTTTTTTGTAGGAAATTAAATTTTCTACAACTTTGTGCTACAAACTTTTTCTATTTTTCCAGCCAGTCGCGAGATATTGACGAAAAACTCGTATTTGCACCATTTCGCATTTTTTTTTCACCCTTTGCCGTCAATGCAGCTCCCTGCAATTTTAGTATATTAATCTACGAATCCTTGCGGAAATTTTCGCGTTGGTTGCAGGTGATCAACTCAAAATGGCAAAGTTAAGCCTTCATTGACTGGACTATTTGTACTCCAGTCATGGATGTTAAACATGTATTTCTACATAAATATACTAATATATGTATCTGTATATGTATTCTATCCAATACCCTAGTATCCCGTAACAAAAGCCTACAGTGCTTACTTTGGGACTAGGGTAATTGGCGTATGTTGAAAGTATTTTATTAAGACAAGCAAATCTACCGGATGCCTGAACTAAGCAAGAAATCAGTTTCATTTTACGAAGTAATTTGTTACGTGTACCTGGTCTATAATATCTTTAACATGTAAAGATTACGCTAGTAGTAATAGTCTTACCTATTTTTTGTTAATTAAGTGAGTGTTGAAGTACTGAATATTATAGCAAGACCTATTTGCATACCCATGAAGTAGAATTAAATTGGAAATTTGTGTTGAATATTCACTTATACATTGGCCTAGACTAGGCATATTCCTTGAGTCGCGGAAGTATCCGAAACGGTTCTTGTGGCTTCACCCAGTGGCTTGGCCTCGCCGGGCGTGGTATCACCTGATGGTGGATCTTCCGCCCGACGAGATCACGGCCCTTTGGTGAGAATGAGGGGCATTGTCAGGGTTTTAGTGGGCCCCATCCTCTCGAGCGAGAGAAGAGGAGTCCCACATAACCTCACCGCACTCCCAGGGCGGTGGGGTATGTGTCACGCATTTTCCTTACATAAAAAAAGAAAAACGCATATTCCTTGAGCGTCATAGAGCAACACGGACGTTGATCTACGAGTGTTGAGAGGATTTACTCTGATAGAAGATCATTAATCCTACTTTTCCCACTAGGTTTTTAAGTAATAGTACCTACCTACAGAATGCTAATATGAAAGTTTGTGTATTTTTCACTAAATCACGGCAAAATAGCTGAACGGATTGGGATACATTTTAGTACAAATATAATGTATTATACGATCACGCTTAAAATGATTTCTTGCATAATACGCCATTTTGCGACAGTGACAATGTGGCACCGTACGAAATTCAATCAATTGAAGATCTTATTGAGAATGTGAATAATACACAAGTAAAGGCCCTAAGTAAGACGAGTCAACTCCGATTTTGTCATACGCCCAGGCATTATCAGCAGTCAATGATTTAAGAACGTTATGTAACTTCTTTGAATCAAAGCGAAGACGCACTGCAAAAGTTAAATAATTATGTTGAAATTCCTGTAATTGCTAATGCCTCAAAATCTTTTTCTCAAATAGTGATATGCCGAGTCGGTTATTTTTGGTATTCGGGTATTTTAGTACTCGTTAAAAAAAGATTCGAATTAGGACTCGAGTCAGAAGACTCGGACAGGTATTCGAGTACTAGCGCGAGTATTCGAATACTTTACTGGTCTCGAGTATTTTTTGAATCGGGCCTTGAAATTTGCTTCATCATCATCATTAAAAATCATATTATATGAATGATAGGAAAATATGTTAATAATAATAGATTAAATGTATAATCAGTCATTTATTAATATTATAATAATTATATTAATAAGCTCCATGACGATGCTATCTGCTCATCCATGCTTTCGTTTTCATTTTGCTTACTTTTTGATGTGTGACATCTTTCCTCTCGCTTTCCTGCAATTTGTGGGAGTGATTTCGTGTAATGGAACGGAAGTATGTAACAGGAAGTCGCAAAAGCGCGCGTTATTTGATTTGATTTTAGAAAATAATATTCAATAGCTTATTCCTTTTGTAGTAGGTTTTATTTCTTTTTTTACTAATATAAGGTGAGATTTCAAATGTTACACATCATACGCGACTACTGTAAGGCTCGCTCGTCTATTTTTCTATAATCACTGTATAAATCAAGGAATGTATTTTTTTCAAATGATTTTATAAATTTGTGGTGTTTCCAAAATTAACAAATGTTTTTTACACTCTGCACTCCACTTTTTTATTTGGTAAAATATTATAAAACTTCCATACTTCGGATTTTTTCTTCGAAGCCATCCTATTACAAAGTCACTAATTAAAAAACAGTAAAACTTTACACAAATTCGACAGTTAAACTAGTAACCGAGAGTTCGACTAATTAAAATAGATAATTACTTATAAGAAACAAATATGTAATTAAACTATTGTTAACATCTCATTTAACTGATCGGCCGAGTAGGAAACATAAACACGTTCAAATCACGTTACTAACTTCACTGTACTAGTACGACTGAGTATTCGAATACCATATTTCGAGTACTCGAGTACGTGAGTACCTGCTAGGTATTCGAGTCAGTATTCGAGTCAGCCTGACTCGGCACATCTCTATTCTCAAATGTTAATAACGTAGGTAATTATAATACACTACATTTATGATAACGTACATTATTCTTAAATATTGTACATTTAACACATCAATACCTACAATCAAAATTTCCTAATCCCGCATAATACGCTTTCCCGCATAAGACGCGTTTGTGGTTGAGTCCCTGATTGTGAAATCGTCTTAAACGGGTTTTACTGTATATGGATTATTTTTATACTAGACAGTCCAATCAATTACTGCACCTTAACTAATATTGAGTGTCAATGGAGCCCTATCATAAAGACAGCTGTTGTGGCAGGTCCGCTCCGCACCGGTCACCTTTTTTAGTCAAACCCTGCCCTTAATAAATAAAATACATTTTGATAAATGAAATTATTAATTAATAATAATTCCAGGTGAACCCGGGGCGTAAAGCATCGCTGAGTGGCATCAGAGAGGGAGACATCATATCATCCATCAACGGGAGACCAACGAAAGGAATGAGCAATGCAGACGCTCATGCCATGCTTAGATCTGCTGGCCCAGTGCTCAGATTAGGACTAAACGAGTAAGTCATCCTATGATTGTGAATTCATTATAATATGACATGGTTCTTTTATATTTTAAGAGAGTAGCTGAAATTTGAGAGACTCGGACAAATAATATTCGGACACAGTGTCCTTTTTATTTCAAATATTTTTAGTGACAATTCGCACTCGTCTGGGGAAGTAACCTCCACCTTATAGAAGACCACTGTTTAGTCCATCGTCTACCAACGGGCGGTCGACGCAATAAGAGCAATGGAGCAAAATGGAGCCGCACATCCATGCTCAGATCTGCTGGACCTGTGCCCAGATTAGGACTAAACGTGTATATCATAAGATAATGTATAATAAATAAACATTTCTAACACTCACACCAATAGGGAATATGCATGATTATTTTAAATATTTTTTTTCATAGTTTACCTTCCCTTAATATAGTATAAATATTAACAAATAGAATACAGAAATAGTTATTGTATTAATCATACAAACTTTTGTCCCATCGGGATTCAAAACCGGGACTGAGTAGGCAACATCTTAAAGCCGCGTACATCCCACTCACAACACGGGGGTCGTCAATTAAAATAAAATTTATCTTGGTTTTCTGGTATTTGAAGAGAGTAGGCGAATGGAAGTGCCCGTCTAGGGAAGCCGTAGTGCCTGTCCACATCTCCATGTCACGACGTCGTCGTTGCTGGCGCCGTTTGACGTTGACGACGTCGTGTCGCGAAGATGTGGACCGGCACTTACAGAAGACCACATTGAAATAACACTACGTTTGTGTGGTGTTGTGTTTTTGTCTGTGAGTAAGGTTCTAGGGTTCCATGGGATATTTTTTTTTATAGCGAGGTAGGCAAATGACTCTATCCCACCTGATGTTAAGTGGTGATAAAGTCCAAACGCGAAGATAGCTGGTACAGCAGTTACAAAACTGCTACACCAACCATCCTCACCTATGTATGGGATGGGGTCAGTATTAACAACAGCGCAAGTAATAGTAGGTAATTTGCCATTGCCACCGCTGATCCCATCTTACACCTCGTGGAATTACAAGGAAACTGATTTTTGTAAGGCACCTCGCGCTCTAGACGACCGCGATCAGATTAACTCAAGTTGGGCTTTGCGGCCTAGTCAAGTGCGCGAGGTTCCTAACTTGTTCTTGCAGTACATTATTAACACTATCACTAGCGAGAAGTAATTTCTATTAATGAAATCCCAGTTGTCACGGGTTTGTGACCCCTGGGGACGTGTGGGTTTTTTTGATAAATTCCCACTCTTCATCGCATGGGACAAAGCTGGGGTCACGAGCGGGAATGACTTCTTTTGACTATCTGTTTATATAAACTAACAGTCCATGGTAAATTAAAAAGCTAACGTAATCAGTAAACTTTAATTGACTCATAAAAAGCTCAACTTCACTATGTAAGTTATAAAATATTTCACCTCATAGATAACGATGATAATAAAATCACTTTATATGGCAATTGGACGGCCCCAATATTGGATTTTTTTATTGAAACGTGACAAGTTATAGTTAATTAACCATTTAAGTCTTATGATTTTTCAAAATTCTTAAGAGATATACTCAATACTCAATGTTTTATTGCTTTCCACAAGTTATACAAGATGTTACAAAATAATATGCACAATCATGGACCCCGTCGGGCACAGCAATCAATTAATTACAGAGGGAGAGTGACACCTTTGATTACATAAAAACGCTAATAAGTACCCTAGCTGACTATTACAATTTAGAATTTATATAATATCTATCTATAATAAATTAAAATAGGTATTAAATTTTATTTCATTCTATAAAATCACGAATAATAATAATAATAATGTGTATACTAATTCATTAATTGTAAAAAAGATAATACGACCAAATTATATAAAATATACGCAAATAAAATTTATTTAAAGTTATATAAAAACAAAACACAATTATTTACACAATTGAGAATATAGTATTCTCAACAATGTAAGTAACTAAATCATTTGAATATTAATTTACATTATAATCACATTTTAACATTTCAAATTCATTAACTAATAATAACATTTATTAAAAGCAAAATAAAATCAACAAATTATATATTTTCAATAGTATAAATAACTTCAAGCCATTTTATCATTTAAATATTCATTAACACTGTAATAACATTTATTAATCAAAAGAGTTTCTAAACGTTTCAAAAATATTCCTTCTGTAGATTCGTTTTTTATTTGGTCAGGCAACTTATTGTTAATTAGTGATGTTACGGTCTTGAATTTTGACAAACCGGATTTGATCGGTTAGTAATACATGCAAATCGGTTTCCGAACCGAACCGCCAAATTTTCAGTAAACCGCGGTTTGAACCGGTTTGAACCGTTTGACGAGTTGACGAATGAAACTTACGAAACAACAGGTGCTATTTTTTTTTAATTCTACATACTTTGTTGATATTACATCGTGCAAATATTTAAAGGTAATTGAAAAATAACAATTAAAATATGAAAACAAATAATAATAATCAGAATTAAAATTGTCAAAATAAAAATAAACAAATATCTATGTAATACTGTGTTTAAAAAATTACAAAAAAAATATATAAACTCTATTAATTACATAAAACCGTACTTCTTAACTTTGAGAATAAAATACAATTTTAATAATCAACAATATAATAAATACGTAATTTATTTTTGTAAAATCATTTGAGTCGTAGAAACTTAATTTGGTACAAACAACTTAATTAAAAAGTTTTCTTACAACTATTTAGGAATAATATTTGGTCTATTTTTTTAGAAGCTGGGCAATTACGTCGCATATTACATAATAATGAAAACAAAATTACACCGTCAAGTCAGTCAAATCTACTAGAGTCCGTTTCATTTCGGTTCGGTCGGTAAGTCGGTTATGGCTGTTGTATTTAAATTGGCGATGCGCGCTAACCGTATCCGCTGCTGTAAGTCGGTTCGTATTGGTCGGTCAAATTTTATTAGGGTCGGTAAAGCACGTTAGGAGCCGCACGCGATTTGTGGATGGCGGCATAAACAAGAATTGACAGGCGCGCATGCACGCAGCGCGATACGAACGAATGCCACGATAGAACCGGTTTACGAAGACGTTAACCGATTCAACTCGGTCCATGCTCAAACCGGTTTGAACCGGTTTGAAAAGTCGAGTCGTTACATCTCTATTGTTAATCTTTATGGACATGATTAAGGGGCTAGATGAGTGTAAATTTAATTTAGAGGTTGGCAAAATTAATTTATTTTTGTTTCTAGTTGAGTATTTTATTGGGGCATCTCCTCTTTTATTATATAAATTTGGATGTTGACGCACAAATTTGCAAATCTGAAATATATAAATGCGCGGCAAGCTAAGAATTTCATGTTTTTTAAAATGAGGCTTACATGAGTCTGTATTTTCAATATTTACTAAGATTCTCACAAGTTTCTTTTGCTGTGTGAAAATAATAGATGCATCCGTACTGTTCCCCCACAAAATAACTCCGTAATTCATCCAAGAGTATGCATAAGCATAAATACTAGGTTCAGTTTTTTCACTTTTTTTATAAACCGGTTTTATAATTGATATTTTTAGTTGATCTGGGAAAATACCATCTTGAAAAGATTGATTAATTAAAAACAAAGTGGAGAAGCTAACTCATCAGAACACTGTTTGAGTAATATTGGGGAAATTTCGTCAATCCCATGGCTTTTTTTATTCTTTAACCTTTTTATGATTAGGGAAATCTCTTGATTATTAACTGGAATAAGGTACATAGAGTTAACAGTAGGATGGCTTACGGGGCGCCCCTTGGCAGTATCACTCTTTGAAGGACCGCCCATAGACGCAAAGAAATTATTAAATATGTTAACTACTTGTTCAGGGTCAGAGACTAAGTTATTATTATATTTTAATTTTATATTATTTTTTTCCTTTCGTAAGGACTTATTAGTGCGTTCATTTATTACACTCCACATAGCTCTAACTTTGTTACTTGATTTATTTATTTTCTTTATATATTGTAATCGTTTTGCCGTAGCTATTGTTTTCTTCAATATTTTTTCGTATTTCTTATAATATTTATTTAGTATATCATTGTTTGATTTTTGTGACAGTACTTTCAGTAATCTTTTGTTACGACAAGAGCGCTTTATTCCAACAGTTAACCAATATTTTTTGTAAGTAGTTTTTAAATTAATTATTCGTTTTGGAAAACATTCATTCAGGTTTTTTGTTAAAATACTTTGAAATGCAGTGAAGTTATCATTTAAATTTTTTTCAGGTTTTAGATATTCATGCCAATTAACACTTTTTAAATTAGTTTTGATTTTTTCTATATTATTTTTATTATAAGTTCTTCTTTTTAAAAACCAACGATTCTGTTTAATTTGGGGTACTGTTATTTTCAGTATTATTGCCCGGTGAAATGAAAACCCGAAATCTTCCACAGCAGTGTGGAATTTACTATGGTGAAAATTTGTAAATACTAAATCCAAGCAAGTTGATGATGTTTTAGTTATATGTGTTGGTTGCTTTATATATTGAGTGAAGTTAAATTCAGACATAAAATCCAAAAAAATATTTGTCTTAGAATTACTTTGTAATATATTCATATTAAAATCACCACCTATAACTACATTGTACTTACAATATTTTTTCCGTATGCAATTCAAAAATTTTCTCAGTTGATCATAAAAAACTTCTTCTTCCCTTCTATTCCAATAAATAGTTACAACCAATAAACGTTCCTTTGCAAGTTCGGTTGCGCACACCTCAACCACGTAGTCGACTGACAAGTTTGTGATTTCTTCCACATGTACGCTCTCAATGTGCTTTGAAGAAGAAGAATTGAAGAAGAATGCAGGTACCTCCTCCAATTCTCGTCTTACGGCAATAAGCAGCTGCGACTTTGTAATTCTGAAATCTTATCAAGACCAATTTAGCTTCAGTTAACCATGATTCAGTGATACAGATTAATTCGTACGGGTTGTCATTAAGAAATGCTGCTAAGTCATTTTGCTTGTTAAAAAGACTTTGAAAGTTTTGAAACCATATCTTAAATTGTCGGCCGGACTCTACGAAAGGAATTATTCTTGATGCCGTTATTTGTATCATGTGATTTATATTTATTTGAATCTTCTGGATTGAACTGTTTTACGTTTTTTTCTAAGGGTTTTTCAATTGGAATTATTTGCTTGCCTTCTATAAATAATTTATTATGACGAATGACAGCATATTGCCCATTCTGTCTAGCCTTCACCATTTCTTCTCTTAAAATTTTTCTTTCTTTTCTAGCGTTTTCATCTAAATATTCCGAAACTGATAAACGACTTCCTTTTAAGAAATAACTGTTTTGCGTAATATATTTCGCCATCCTTTTGCTGATAAACTCTATAACTAGAGGTCTATTTTTATACTTATTACTGCCAATCCTATATGCGTCTTCCATGTAACTCAACATATCAACCTGGTAATAATCCCAGAATATCTCATTAAGCCGTTGGTAAAAATCATATTCATTTTCCACATTACATTCTTGAAGTCCGTATAGAACTATCTTTTTACTGTTACTTTCTTCTACAGATGGAGTATTCGGGGTTACAATATTTTTTTCCAGCTGCTGTATTTGTGTTTTTAATACATCAGTGTCTTGTCTCAATTTCTCTATTTTAAAATTTATATTTTCTATGTCCATTTTTCTTTCGTCATTTAATTTAAAGAGTGTTGTTGTTTCCTTTGTGATCTCTTCCCTTAATTTTAAAATAACTTTGTTTATTTCTGTATGTATAGTACTTTTTAAATCAGAGATTACGGTTAAATTATTTTCTTGGAGTTTTAGAACAATAATTTTGCTTATATTCTCTAATGCTAAATCAGTGGAACTCCCAGATTTGCAAGGTATATCATTATTTTCTGCACACATAGTGTCGCCGAGCATACTAAGATCTTCGAAGCTCAAAGAGTTATTTTTTTGACCAGTTATTCGCCTTCTTGTTGTGACGTTGCAATCTTCTGATATTAAATTTTGCTTTTCGGTAATATAGTCGTGATCTTGTGTACGCACAGGGGTGTTTGTATTGTCTATTTTCGGTATTTTACATAGACATCCCTGACATCGCCATTGCCTTTTGTGTTCCACTGACATTGTATTATAAAAACGTTGCGTAGATACATTTGCACAAATTAAATCATATTTGTTATTGCACTCAATGCAATTAAGGTATTGTCTGTCAATGATTGTTTGCAAACATCCGGCACACTTTGATGCCATCTTCAGTTTTGTGTATCAAACACTGAACAATTTCACAAAGCAACTTACAAATTAATGCTATATCGTTCTAAACCCGATTTGTAATGTTTTTTTGTGTTGTCAACAGATGTCGTTACTGTATATAATTTTATCTTGTTCGGTTTTAATTTTAATGTATAATTTTATATGTTATTTATTATAGATTTTCCATACCTCAGTCTGTATTCTGTAACAGTACAATTAGTAAATGCTTTTCTTCCCTCAAATATTTATAAGAAAATCCAATACACTCGCTTCAACTTGTAAATTGTTTGGGTTGAAACGGCCAAAACACTTTTTGGTTTTTCTTCATGTAACACATTATTAATCTGTTCACTATTATAACATATTTGAATTGAACTTGTAAACTGAGCAATTATCTATTTTTTGTTGGATTATAATTATTTTACTATTTTAAAATGAAAAAATAACACAGATCCGTATTTCACTTTTTGGGTCACATCTACCCTCCTTTATATATATATCTATATTAGATATCTTTGCACATGGGCACATGTCTTCCCTATGGATGAAATAGGGAGATTGGGCCATGACCCACCACGCGGGCCCAGTGCGGATTGGCGGGTGCTAACGACTGCAGATGCAGCCGGGACCAACGGCTTAACGTGCCTTCCGAAGAACGGAGGAACTCAAGATAGAAGCTTTTTGGTCACCCATCTATGACCGACCACACCGATATTATATTTTCAATTCCTTATTTAGCAAATAAGTATTCCTAGTTCAATCCATTTTCAAAATTACGCAAAAAAAATAGGGGAACCATATGACGATAACAAACATATCAGTCGCGCTGTTGTCTGCTTTATTTATGCGTAATAAAATCATAATAAAAAAGCATACTCCTGTGATCTAGAAGTAAGAAAGTGATAGAATATACCTATAAGTAAAGAGAAATAAACGATAAAAATCGAGAATGAGTTTCACATATCAACTTACCAAACATAACTTTGTTCCCAGGAACAGAGAGATGTCCCCTCGAAGAAGAAGCTTGGGCAAAGGAAGTGAGTTGAAAAGTAAGTTTCCTAAATTCTTTCTCATGTGGAACTACTACTGAATCTGTCGTCTCCCTACTTGGATCTTCTTAGCTTTTTGACGGATGATTAAAAAAATATTTTGAAAACATAAAACATCGACAATATTAGTGTTTTATAAGATGTTATAAACATTACATGAGTAGTGAGAAGAAGAAGAACTACACAAAGTAGTGAGAAGTGGACGCTAAAATTTATGACATAGTTCCTCAAAGTTGTGAATAAAAAAATGATCCAACTTAAAAACAATTTATTAGAGGAGTAAATAGTTAATTAAATTATAATTTCAAATCATATTATAATTTCCAAATTATTATTTATATTTCTATGTGTTCTTCACACAGTAGAGAATTCATCGGCATGATTATCTATGTATGAGTAGGTAATATTTTTTCTATTTTAAGTTTTAATATCTAAGAGAGGTAGGGCACAGCGGATTTCTCGTTCGATTTGGAGCACCCGAATGGGGAAGCAACCTTCACCTACCAACCTACTAACTTTTGGTGGTGTTGTGTTTCTGCTGGTGAGTAGAGTTTCAGGGTTCCGCGTGTAGGGGATTGGGTTTAGGCCTGCAAGGTAAGGATGGCTGGAGCGGTACACCTTCAGCTGCAGCATCATCTATCTTCGCGACTGGATTCCACTGACACTTGTAGGGCGGGGTGGGGTAATTTGTTGCGCTTCGTATAATAAAAAAAACACTTTCACACACCCCAAACAATTAAAAAAAAAATGCTTCGAACGGGTATAAGTACGATTCCTGATTTCTTGGATCCTTTCCAGGGTTCTTGGTAACATGATCTGAAAAGAATCCGACACATCATAAAATACAACTATATTTGGTGTATAAAACCGCTTATGAATATTATTTTATAAAATTCATGTCTACTAAGAAAATATCAAAATAGTGTACATTTCAATAAATAAACTTATATTTATTTAAATGAAGCCGTATTGAAGGAAGTATTTTTACGTTTTTATCACACTGAATGAATATGCTATGCTGCTGTTGTAAAATGTGTGGCTACTTTATCACCCCTCGTTGCAAGGAAAAGTGTCGTAACCGTAAACTCTAAACTTTATGAATACGAGGCTCGCTATGCAAAGCTCTATGAGTACATATTCCATAGCTGTGATGTATAAAGTGCTCATTTTATATCATATTGTTTGTACTTTGCAGGTAATTCTATATAAGCCGAATGTATGATACGAATATTTTAGTTATTTCAAATAATTATGAACGATTTTTAATTTTGTTTCAGGGCCGTCACAGTTAATGGCTGAAGTGCAGTCAGGAAGAGCTACGTTGCAAGCGCCAGTTTACGCGACTATAAGACCATCGCAACTTCCAAGCAATCGTCCATCTTCCCTGTCAGCACAGTCATCTCTGAATTCGTTGCCAGCTGCGCTCAACTCCACCCCGTTGGTCAAATCTGTAACTGCTAATGAAGATCTTCCCCACTTCCATCCAACGAATCCTTTTTATACTACTTTACCAAATACCTCTAGTGCTTCCAAATTACCCGTTCCAAACGGTAGGGCGTCCAGTATAGATAGGAGTAAATTCAGAGAAAATACGTCCTTACTTAACGAGCACAGCTCAGACTTCAAATCCCCTTCATTTTTCAACAAAGCGTTGGCTTCTGCTTCCGGTAACTTCCATCATTCGAACTTTAAGGATATTGGGTTTACAAATGGCTATAAATCAGATGACGCTACGGAAGCCAGAGAATATAGTGAAAATCATATTTTCGGTAACCAGTTTAGTCACCAAAGTGTTCCGAACAATGTAAATGATTCGACTAAAAATCCTTTTGAATCGAAACGAAATAGTGACCCTTTCGAGAAATATTTAAGGCCAGAATGTAAAATAAACGATAAAAGTGAATACGACTCAAGTGCCATGATAAACTCTATTAGCGATAATAGTTTTAACAAAAAAGAAGAAGTACTGAAACGATCAACAATAACCGAACATCAAATAAGTGAAATTGAAGAAGTAAAAACAATTAAAAAAATTACATTGAATGGATCAGATTACGAAAGTGAAAAAATACCAAAACATTTTCAATCAGATGTTAATGAAACAAATCACCCACAGTCGCAAACAGAAGACCACCGAAAAAATTCGAAAGTTCACAATGTTCCGATTTTTAAAGAGTTTGAAAGTTCTAATAGTTCGAATGCGAGATCTGAATACGAAAATCGGAAATATCAAACATATCAATCTCCGATCGAAAACAATGGAGTTGGATCTGAAGGTAAGTTTTGTTATTTAATTCCGCAATCCAGCAATTATATTTTTATACTAATATCATAATTATATTTTTTTGTAGTCTATGACTCCTCAATATGCATAATTATGTCTACAATTTCTTGATACTTGGAATATGAGCAGCAATTCTTAGAATCACTTTCGAATTGAAACATCGAATTTTCTACTACCGTATTAAAGTTTTCGGGATGGAAACTATAAATGCAATCAAGAAGTTGTCCGAAGAGACGCTACCCATACGTTTGAATAAACAGTTTTCTTTGAAAGTGCTTATTTGCCGGGGATAGAGAGGAGCCATTTTACGACGTTTGATCTGATCTTAAAGTGAACGTAGATACTGATAGAAGAGATGAATAAGGTAAATTAAATTTTGAAACAATCATGGATCATTTATAATTAAAGAAGAGAAAAGAGTTTATTTCAAATTTAAAAGAAATTTAGAGAAAATTTATCTAATGTTCACCTTACAGAAGACTGCAGAAAAATAACAATACCTTTTAATGGTTTTTTAGGTATTAATTTTAACGAGTAATGTTCTTGGGTTCCACGGGGTAGGAGATTGTGCTGGGGCCGATACGTTTAGGAAAGCTAGATCCGGAAACCGCTAATTTTGAATGTGTTCAACATGTGCTATAACGGTCGCAGTTCCCTTGGTTTAGAAACTACAGACCTACCTAATGTTCTACTGGTTCCTACTGCATTGAAAAAGGCAATACCATAGAAATATGTGGTGATTTGGAAGTAAACATATGAAAAACTACATATAGGCCTCACTTCTACAAAAAAATAAGAAAAGAACATTGATTTAGTTACAGGATCCCTTTATGAATAAATGCAAAACTGAAACATGTTTGGAATACTCTTTAAAGAATGTCTTTCTTATGACTACAGTTCATTATGGGTTAAGTTAAGTATCGCGGCGCGATAGGAATCTCAAAGTTCTGTGACTCGCATCATTACGGCAACTTCACAACTTTACTTACTCAAAACTCCAAAAGTGACAGTCTCGAGTAAGTAGGTAGACAGCTATTCGGAAGTCGCTCAGCTCGTCTAGGAGTAGGTTTACGTCTCTTTTGAATGCAGAATACGGTTTCTTTAATACTTATAAGCGATGAGTGCTCGTACTACGGAAACTTGATTGTAAGTGCTTTTAAGTCGTTATGTTGTACCTACCTTTTTATTCAACTACGGAAAATCCAAAAGAAGGTCTTATAACTTTAGTAATCAGATTTTGGCTGTTGTGTGAGGGTGAGAGGTCCGTACAATTCAAACACTCTCACACTCATACAAGCCATATTAAATAATTCTGACGATCTTAATAAACTGTAACAGTTGCATTTGGATAAACAGAAAGAAGTTTTTCGCGGTTAAAAATTAATTTTATGTCGTATGTGCGAAATTCTATGACACAAGTTCGGCTTTCAGCCCTTGCTTTCGTTTTCGTTGATTGTAATAGTTATGCATATTTTTGCCCTAAAAAAATTTTTTTTTGCCAAAAAAAAATTTTTGATTCACTGATATTTAAATGATTTTAGTGCCGTCTTTAATTATTTCGTATAAACACAATGAAAGACTCATTCCTGATTCGATCACGTTAAGAAACACCGTTGCTCTTCTCAAAACTCTCTCCATCGCTCGTTGTGCAACTCTGAGCCTTCTTATTAGTCTTATTAATAACAACCACGTTTCAGCTCCGTATGTCAGGACAGGCAACACGCACTGTTCGAAGACCTTGGTATTCAGGCACTAGATATTTCGGACTAGAAGACATCGTGAAGTTTCCCGAACGCTGACTAGTCGAGTTGGATTCGGTGGTTTACTTACCTCATTCTCGAAATTGGACTTACCCAAGTGGACCATTTTGTCTCCAGTTGCCAGGAAGTTATACGATTTAGTACCATCCCTTTAAAATCATTGGCTGGTTTACGCAACAGCCGCAAATTTATTAAGTGTCTTTTCGATTTTTTTTATATTTGGATAGGGTTTTGAAATTAATTGTTGAGAATCCAAACAAAGTCATTTCAAAAATTGCTTCAGTATCGCAAGAAACGTATCGAAAAAAGATGGCGCAGAGGACACTTGGTGATGAAGGTGTTACCAGTTCTGTGGCAGGCACTTCTAGATGACACTTTTGTTGAGGTTCTAAGCAGACACCTTTTTATGTATTGAAGCGTCTTTTGACAGTTCGTCATGTTTACCAAAAAACTTTTTTATTCGGGAAACGCACAGATACTTGTTTCTGTTGGTTATGTTTTGTTTGCTTAAATATTTGCTCATTTTTAAATTTCAAAGTTAGAATTTTGGAAAACTGAATGTTTTGGAAGGAATATCGAAGCGCGGGTAGAGCAACCCCGACCAAGCCTTCAGTCTTTCAGAAAAGAATTAATACGTCTATAATGCGATTCAACTAAGAATAGGACCGACAGGGTGCCATATTGTGACGCCATATAGCTGTCAATTCAAACCAAACAGGTAGAGTGAGCAAAAGTTTTATTTAATAAAATTTATTTGCTAAGATTAAGTAAGAAAAAACATCAGATTTGTTCCAAGTTTTTTTGCAAACCGTACTTTTCAAGCGACATTTGACAGATGGAGGTCATTGGCATTCTTATTCTTATTTGAATCGCATTATAAATGTCATTTCTTTGTTGTGAGAAGACTGGATTTGATATTTGGCCGCGGCCCATGTTGGTAAAATTATTTATAGGCAGTGAACGTTTATTGAGGTAGAAACAAGGAACTTCAAGTTGCTGACCTGAAGTGTTGTGCCAGCCTAATCTTAATCCTCTAATTATTGTCTCGTGCGAATCGTGATATCTCCATATAGGTCTTGATATAAAACTGTAACTTTGAAGGCCCAAACCACATCAACCATGTAAGCGCCTATCATGAGTTAGTTTTTTTTTTAAATTAAAAACTTCTTTAGCGCCTTTGTGATTTGAACTCGATGAAATGAAAGGACATCGTCCAAATCATATTTGGACCAAAGTTGAATGTCTAGAATAGATATTTTTACTAATATTATTAATTAAATATAAACAGTTTATACAAATTGTAATTGACCAAATCAAAGCCGAGTAAAATAAAAAAAATATATAAAACACTGCATTGACATTCATCCTAACTTGTCCTTTTTGGTAAACAATCTTGGTACTTCTTTTTTTGAAAATATAGCATTAAAAATCAACTGATAAAAAGATTCAATAGTTATGATTTTATTTATTTTTTAAGCATTTAACTGCTAGATGTTTAAATCTAAAGCAAAGTTTACTAGAAAAACATCCACGCGGACCAGGCAGCGGACGGGACTCGAACCCGCTTCCTTCGCTATCCGGGCGAATGCACTGACCATTATGCTACCACGGCCCTATTAGCCGCGTCGAAATTTTCCCAGCCTAGATTCAATAAGTTTCAGTCTATAATAACGATTTATCGTAATAAAATATTGACTTTGTTATTATTTTATTTTAAATTGGTGATTTTTTAAAGAAGTTGTGCCAAGATTGTTTACCAAATTCCTATTTGGTAAACAATACATTCTAACTTGTCCTCAAGTTAGAATGTTTTTTTAAGGTTCGCCCTTTTCGGGGAAGGCAAAGGTAACAATGCCCTTAAAGCCAAGTCTTTAGTTTTATTAATATTCGTTTTTTTACATTAGAATGTCGGTGTGGCTCATTCTAATGTTTCTTGGAGTGTTTGACATGAAATGTATCGAGTTGGCTTTTCAGGTAAGCTTCTGTGAGGTGGTCAACACTACGATAAAATTCTCACGTCCACTTGACCGGAATAGCGTATATTTTAAAGATTCCACTAATTCTTCAGTTGCGCAGACGGTTGTAATACAAAATCACACCAATTTTATTTCTCAATATCGAGTGAACACTGTGAACGAATTTAAGAATAATAATTAAAATAAGACGCCAACCGCACTCAATGAAATCAAATGGCTTCGCTTCTACTACATTTTGAATTTATCTGTGATATTGGTATACTTGTTATGATTTCAAAAAATCGATTTCTGTAATGAAAAAATGTAATACGGATACGTAATAAAACAGTCAAAATAACATAACCACTAAATGTTCAGAGCAAAATATATTTTTCCTCGGCTTTCTTTCGTCGTGATTCTTACATATATAAGCTCAATAAATTACGCAGAATCTAATGATATATCATTTGTTGAAAGACGCAACAATTTAATTTGAAATAAAACGTCTATGGGAGTTGACCGATGTCCTTTATCAGTATTTGACACAAGGTATCCGTAATTTTGTCAACACCAAGTGTTCGATGAACCGATTCTAAGCTCGGTTATTCTTTTTTTTTCGTTTATTATTTTATTTTCGACACAATTTAACTACCTATAGAATATTTAATTTTGCCCAGTATTTCACAATACCTGAATAACGTTATAGATATTCAATAAATAAAAAAAAAGTTTTAATCACTAGTAAACATTTCGTACTTAATTATGATATTTTAATATTTCTAAAGGTTAACGTTACATTACAAATTACAAACGAGAATTAGTCGTACGCCTGTTCATTAGTAAGAGCAAACTTGTACGCGCGCCTATTGCTGTTTCATTACATAAAATAGTCTGGAGTGTGCTCGGCAAAGCAGGCGCTACGAATGCTAATGTAGGTTGCACAGTTCCTTCTTGATTAATGAAACGTAGATTTATCATGATTGAAGATGATTAACAAGATATTAGTGCAGCGAAGTGCAAAAACTTCTCCTTACCTAGTTGCTCTACTTCTTCATTCATTCATGGTATTTAGTTTCTACAATGTAAAAACTTTGTTTTTGTATTCCAACTACATTAAGTTGTATAACGGGTATATTACCTACCAATACCTGGCGACCTTCATGTCGCCTAACAGGCGAGAAATGTGGTTAATTTGAGAAAAAAGGATATAGTGAGTCAAACTTAAAAGATAGACATATGCTGTCGCGGACGTTTTTTATAGAAATTTTAAAGAGAAA